CGTACCCATTGGTTTAGGTCTGTTTTGCGCGGGATCAGACTAATCGGGGCCGTGTGATGCATCGGTCACAATCAGGTCAGCTGATTGGAGCACAAACACATCTGTGTTTGCCGTTATGACGGACTAAAAAAAATGAAAAGTCCATATATATATCAAAATGAAAAGACAAACAAAACACCATTTTTGTAGATCTAAAATTAGTTCGCTTGGGATCTTCTTCTTGTCAGTTACAATACGAGCCAACTAGGGTGCTGATGAATTGCGATAAATCTTTATGCAGGAGCATAACACAGTGATAATTGGGTCGGGTTGTTGCACGGGAACGGTAAACAAATTGGTCGGGATAGTGCGGATGACTGGGGTCGTTAAGTTCCTTACAGGGGAAATTCTCACTTCGAGTAATTTGAAAATCACACAATTTTGTGATTAGAATGTTTATAGGAATAAGAAAAACACGACTAATAATTACCAAGCAACAGCGAAGAGTAGTGAAGTTCAGGGAAAATAATGGGCGTGGAATAAAGTATGACAGGAAAAATGCAGTGATAAACAAATAAACACATAGTTTCATGCTTTACTGTAAATTGTCTTAGCTTGCGAATCTGGAAGGATAAACGAAGCAGTCTACCAACACAGGCTAGTACATCAGAGGACCACAGTCGATTGCTCTCTATGATGACTCCTAGGTATTTGTTGGTGCGTGTTCCGGTAATGGGTACGGGGTTGAGGAATGAGGGTTCCAAGGAAAACTCAGATCGGGAAAGACCAAAACACGCATTCAAAACATTTGGAAGCATTCGTCTGGAGACCGGATTGATTAGATAATAAGAGCACTTGTACTAAAGTGCCAGAAAATAATTCCATGTCAGACTGGTTTGAGGTGACTTGACATAAGACGACATCATCAGCACTGATGAATGTAGAAAGTAAGCATGGAGAAAGCGCAGCACCATGAAAGACTGCCGAATTATAAATTAACGGTTTTGAAACAGTACTGGTTTCTTTCGTTCTTTGAATCACTCCTGTGAAAGAGTCCGTCAGCCACGATAATAAAGTATTAGAGCAATCGAATGATGGTAAATTTCGGAGGAGAATAGATCGTGGAACGGAATCAAAAGCGCAACAACAATCAAGGCAAACATAACGAACGGATTTTCAATAATCATCCGAAGATTTACAAATAAATTGCCTCAGTGCAGAGACGATGTCCAAAGTACATTTATTTGATTTATACGCAAATTGTTGGGGGAGGGTGTGTGTGTGTGTGTGTGTGGAAATATTAGTACCAGACTACAGGCGGATGAGAATAAATAGTACGCTCTACTAGTTTACGTTTAGAGAGAGGGATCACGATGGGGGGGGGGAAGGCGTTCAGATAAAACGTCAAATGAAGATGACTTGGGAATGGGAATAATGGTGAACGCACATCAGGAATCAGGGAGTGAAAGTGCGTATATGGATTTATAAATGTGGGACGCAAAAATCTCTGCGAATGAATCAGTGTCATGTGTGAGTATAGACGAAGATAGATTATCAAGGCTTACTCCACTCGGGATTTGTGTAGTTTTGAGAAGAAGATAGACCTCCTCATGGGTAGTGGTGTCTATGGTAGACCGACGACCTGCAGGATATTGTTAGGACGGAGTTCACGGCACCCGTCAGGCCGCGTACGGATCCGCGTCACAGCACAAGTGCGCTCGTGACGTCCAAGGTGAATCGATTCCAGATTGGATGACTAAGGTGAATAAGATGGCTGTCATCCGATCGATCAGTCGGAGTGTCACGGATGCGATCTGATTGGTACGTCACCACATCGTTCTCGTACGCCCAATTACACACTCATCTTTTCGCATCGTGTCATGTTGAATCCAATAAACTGTGCTGTTTTTCGGTCTCATTCTCCATCCGTGTCATTTTTGGGAGCTAAGCAAGAGGCGCTCATATCGATCGTACGTCTAACCATGAACTTGCTAGGTATATCGATATAAAGTCGTTTTAAGGATGAATGAGAACAGGACTAAGGCTGTCCACACGAATAGTTTTGTTTGTTGACCATTTCTTCTGTCTGCTCAACAATCTGATCCCTTACCACAGCCGCCTTCCATTTCCAGTTCCCAGAACTTGCTTTTCGAACGAAGCATTCAGTCTTTTGATTTCCACCGCCCTGATTTGCAGAGAAAGCTGTTTGACAGTGGTTGTTTAGTGCATCTTGATCGCTTGTTCTTTTTGTCTCCTTAGAGCTTTTAGCAGCCGAGAGCGTAATATGGCCAGTGTGAACGAAAATTATTTCCATAGGGTAGCACAAATTGAAAATCACTTTGGTTGTTTTAGTAAACTATTTAGGAAAATTAAATTGTCAACTAGGGAAATAATGAAAGAAAGAAATGCATCTTAAAGCGAGCTGATGTCGATTTGTGAGCAAAAAGGAGTAGTCTAGAGATTAGTAATTATTGTGCCCCGAAAGGGAGAAAACCAAACTCGACAGAAAACAGTGAAGCAGTCTATACCATAACAGGAGAAAGCAAACAACGTTTCGGACTTGCAGCACCAACTGGAGTTAACATAGGCTATTAACCCACCTACGTTCTTCTTCCTGCTTGCTTCCTTGTCTGGTGGAATCTTGTTGAATTTGTGACAAGCTTGCAATAGATGTCGAAGAGCTGATAATTCTTGTCCGTCAAGGATAAGATAGCTGCTCCATTTTTCCGGAACCACATTTTATACGTGTATCCTGCAGAGAAAAAGACCAATTTAAAAGAACTGCATTAGCATAACTGTCGAATCAAATTTTTGAAGATCTCTCGATTGCGTGCTTTATGTTTTTCTTCGTTTTACGTTCTGCACGATTGTTTCCCAAAGTTGATTGATACGGAAGTTTGGCGTAATACTATTAGACATGTGTATGCAAGCACTGAAAATTAAGTTCCTAAAAACATCCGTGTAGAGATCCAACAATCGAGAAGATATGTGATCGACGACCGAGAATGATCGTTTCACTCCGGTGCAGAATTCACAATAGCAGTTGGGTGATTCACATGCGTTTGATCTGTATCGTTGATCCAATCTATTATGAAGCTCAGTCGGTTGGCAATTTCATATTCACCTGGCCACTAACAGTTTTGGTGGAAAATTCTCTCTAACCGGATACATCTAGGTTTGCCTTCAGAAAAAATGGGTAATTCTGACTTCAGTATGTATCGTGAAATGCAGTTTATGGTTTCCAGTTCACGTGTGGGCACGTGACTATTTTTATGCGGAGTCATGTCAACTATTGAGATATAATTCCACCGCACGCTTGCCTCTATGTTCCCATCCATAATGTATAACTTTTAAAGAGATTCATTTTGGGCAGTAACAGAGCATTGTATTCAAGTTCCTAATAGATGGAGTTATTCTAATATTCTTTGTATCTACGAGAATCTGAATGGTTCGGGTACACGATAACATTTTTGTAATGATTGTATTAATCGTAGTAATATGCACGGAATTCGCAACACCAACCACGCTATATGAATTACAGGACCCGAATCAATAATCAGCTATCACGGACTGGATCTCAGAAGCACAGGACTACAATGGCACGGGTTCGCAATGTCCCACGAGAACGAGACGCGAGGAAGAGGCCACAAGATCGGCAGTAAGTAGTTCGTTTATTGGAAGAAATGAAGGTGATTAAATAATATGTACAAAGGGATATTATTAGCCATCTGGGCTTCCACCAATCGGATTGCAGTACTGCTTGCATAATCTTGCTCCCGTCTGCATTGTCTAGGATTGGCTGGCACTATCCACCAATGACGTGTATTCAGAAGCCATGCACGTGTCGTTGACGTCAGCATTCAAACTTGATTGATCGCCAATATCCTGAAACTGTGACGCGCCGCTCCAGGGTAGGCGCCATCGTGTAGGCATGGATCACCACAATTTTCTTTATATTATCTGAAGTTTGCCATAGTTTAAAATGGTCTGCATTTAAGCAGGTGATCTGCCACGTTCAATCCCAGTGATACAATCAATGACACTTTCCTATTATGACACGGAAATTGGAGTAAGCTTGATAACCTGGATTGACGTTTTATGCCTATGTGTTTGTGTAATGATTGTAGTAGTTGTAGTAGTACGCACGGAATTTGGAATACAAATCACGCAAAAGGAATCACCGGACACAAGTCAAGGATTAGTTGTCACGGACTGGATTACGGAAGTCCTTTCGGTAAGACTTGCGCCCGTTTCTGTGCCTGCCTGTCTGCGTGTCGACGCACTGCTTACTCACCGGCTTACGGACCGGCTACGTATGCGGTTACATACTGCAAATATAATTACTACTTAATTCACTCTTTGCCTACTTATTGACTCATACGGGATACAACAAGCTGAATCATTCGCCGAAGTCACACATCGCACTGATGTTCGCGATCTTCGTGGTTTGCGCGGTCTCACCGATTTTTCTTTGAACTTGTGGTGCACAACACGCTCGCACTTTGGGAGGACATTCTTCAGCAGTTCTTTAAATTGTGACACCGTCTTCTGGCTTGCCCATAGAACAGTACTTTTCAACGCTCTCACCAAATTCTTCCCTGCATCGTGTGAGCAGGAGCAATGTGGCATTGTGCGTAACTGTCGGCGACCAATAACTCTCGATTTGGAGGATTGTGTGCACATAGTTCCAACGTTAGTGGGACTACTCGCGATCGACCTCCGCCACTGGGCTTGAACAATCGGTGCTTTGCAGAAATGCACTGACACAGAGTCGTTCAACTTCCGTAAGGCGTTCAGGCCAAGAATGGAATCAATTCTCTCAGCGACCAGAAATCGAATTGGGATGAAGAAATTTTTCGCTGATCGAACCAATAGCGACACCTCCCCCACAATGAGAGTTTGTGACCAGTAATACCCATAATTTGCACAGTAGTTTGATGAACTTGTGCTTCCGGATAGATAGATAGACAGATTGCAGTACTTCAGTTGAAATGATAGACTCCGTACTTCCGGTATCCACAATGAAATTATGCTTCGTGCCCGCCTGGAATGTCACATCTTGGTATAGGTACTGGACACGTTGACTTTGGGTTCATAGGGAAAGCACAGGGCTGGTTTCCTCATCGACCGATGGCTGCGCTGGCTGAGATTGCAATGGGGCTGTTTACACTCTCCGAATGTGGCCAGTTTTCCCGCATGCATGACACTTGGCATTTCGGAAGCGGCAATTGGAGCGCAAGTGGATAGCTCCACGTGACAGACACGGGTTGATACGTTTATCGTTGCCTGAAGAGGCCTGCTGCGGCTTCGGTATACACTTGGCCATTGGAGGTCGGTTTGGTCGTGTCGTCTGTCGTTGAAATAATGTGACTGCTTGTTGTGGTTCGTACTCGGACTAGTATTTCGTATACGTATCGGATTCCGCGCACTAATAGTCCGACCCAGAACTAGGGGTCGCAACGAAATCAGAGGGCAACTCAGAGGCGGAATGGAATTGTAATAGGCGGAAATTAGGAATATACAAGGATATCGTGGCCAATAAAACAAAAGAGTTCACAGTTCATTAGTAATCATCATATTGCTTCGCTGGAAGTAGCTTTCATCAGGTCATCATGTTGCTCACTGATCTTGCGGGCATCGGCAAAAGTCGAATCCTTCTTCTCCAGCAACTTCCGTTGGAGAGTCAGATTGTTAATGCCTGCCACCAAGCGGTCACACATTTGTTCTTCCAGGCGATCACCATAGTTGCAGCGTGATGCTTGTTTGTTCATTTGGAGGATGAAGTCACGGCAAGAAACATGATCAGCACGAATCATGGAGTTGAAATTGACCCTTTCGTGCGCTTGAAATTCAGTGGGCAGCAGTTGGTTGAGCAGCAGCGATTTCAGGGACTCGTATGGCAGTTTAGCCGGAGCCTTAGGGAACGCCAGGTTTTGCAACAGGGAGTACAAGTTACGGCCGCCAGCAGTAAGAAATAGGGCTGACTGATTCTGTTTACCACCTTTGCGAATACTGCACCACAGCTCGATCCGTTCTATCCATTCCTGGATCTCAGATGGGCTTGCCTACAGGTTCAGTTGCTCAATCGTTGGAAGCTCCATCACGCGACGCCAATTTGTNCAGTATTGCTTGCATGATCCGCCCCTGTCTGCACTGTCTTGGATTGGGTGGCACGATATGCCTATGGCGTGTAGTCGGAAGTCGTACGCGTGTCATTGACGTCAGAAGTCAAATTTGATTGATCGCATGTGTCCGAAAACTGTGACGCTCCGCCCCAAGGTAGGCGTCATCTCGTAGGCCTGATTTACGACAGTTTGCTAACACCCCTCGGTCTGGACGAGACCTTCGTCTCTCTCGTGCATTCTTCCTCTGCACGAGGAATACTCGTCCAAATTCATAAATCCTTCATTTCGGTCACATATTACAGCACCAGAAATCTACTGTAAATCTTCGAAATGCTGAGATGATCATGTGATTGTCCACGTTCTAACTGTCCAATCAGAGGTCAGCTTCAATTACGTACTTCCCTGTCCACGTTAATCGATAGGGGCGAGTTGTAAGACATTGTTAAAGTATTTCCAGATAGCACTACCAATCAATTTAAATTCGTTGCCACATAGGAATGCCATGCTGTTCATATATATTGATGCAGAAATAATCTCATCCGTTTTGTTGGATTACATCATTGGAGAAAGTTGATCTAAGTGGGCAAAGTCGTGTGTCAGTCTTCGTTTATCTTTATCTTTGTCGTAATCTATGTCTCCATTCGTTGATCATTTCACTTTTCTTTGCCAGTGTATTCTTGTTCCCCTTTCACTGAAATGCTCAAGGCATTTTAAAGATTTTTCGCAGCAGTTCACAAGTGTCAGGGATTTGGCCGTCGCATGCCGATTGAGGTTATCCTCGAATTTTGACCGTGTGCACTCAGACTCCGCAATGATGTCCAACCTCCACGCTGATCTATACCACTCAATTTAACTGTCGGAATTCATATACGAATTATAGTAGTGAAGAGCTGTCAGACTGAGCAGGAATCACGCAATTCAGCTAAGCCCTTTCTTATATCTAGCAGAGTATTATTTCCTCTGCCATGGCAACGTCGATTGGTTCGATGATCAATCTGATTGTGCACCACAGTTGTTATCAATCTAACCCCATGTACTGATTCCGTTCAATACTTTATCACTATCCTGCATCACCTGAACGGAAATTGTTGCAACTGTTCCATTAGAAAGTGAACCAGGATTGAAAATATGACTTATTTTAACCGGTGACGGGGTTCGCCTACGCACAATATTACGGACCGTGATCAGGTGAGTGAACAAGAGAGAACGGAGGCGGGTAACCAATCGGTGTGTTAGTAACTTGAGCACAATCAAAACTGGTAGATATTTTGGGTGTACCCGCGGGAACTTTCCTTCCCTGATTGCCGTCCGTGTTCTTGGTGGATACCCTGGCAGTGGTTTCGAACAGTTTTCATCATCTTCAGGTCAGCATCAACATAATTTTAACCATATTCTGTTCTCTGATCGCTGCAAATTTCAAAATAGGCTCCCGTTACTTAACTTACTTACTTAACTGTTTTCAGTAGTCTGTGTAATTGAACTCATCCTTGACAATCATAGCTTTCGTAAAGCTGGTGCGGTAAAATTTCTTGGCTTAATTCTCTCACGGAATACGGTCTGATCAAAACAAACCCAAAAAGTATCCCCTCAGGATCTGTTGATTACCGACAAAGAGCACTGGACACCTGTTTCGTCTTTTTTGGGACTCGTCAGCAGTGCACACATTTTGTGTCCCTGTCGGGAATCGAACCGCAAACATTCTGGACGGGACTTCAATCCCTTACCCCTGAGGTACATGCTCGACGGTCATCACCTTGTGTGCATGGTTTAAGCAATTGAGAGTAGTAAATTTGGAATAATCCATTCAGTTTTCCCAATGTACCAGGCTCTGTTGACGGTCTTGGTCTTATAAACACACTTAACTAGTGGGTAATAACGATCTCCCAAGGAGTGAAATCCATACCCAGGACTATCAATAAGGCTCGGTGCCTGTGCACCATTGAATGGATTATTCCAAATTTACTACTCCTTGATTATCCTTCAGCACTTTCTCACTTAACNNNNGTTTTCCAAAATTTGATCCGTAATTTTATAGTCGATTACATTCTTACCAATTATTATTTTTCGGTCCTCAATCTGAAGTTCAATAGATTTCCCGAAATTTGTAAATGCATCAAACTTTGTCCCCAATGCATTAGTGTTTCCAAAATAGCGTTATCTGATTTGATTTTTTTGGCAAGCACATGAATGCTTGTGATCGTTTAACAAAAAAATATTATATCTAATGAGTTGCATTGTCTGCTTATTGCAGCTAATAAATGTATGCTGGTTTAAAAATCTAGGCTTTTGCCTGCACACTAGTGGAATCCTCCCCCGTATCCCGCTTCGGATTTTAGTGAACTGAACAGTTATAGTTACGTAGTTCCAGAGTGCTCTCTCTCTCTCGCGCGCGCGCGCTCGCGCGTCAGTACAAGGTATACTTTTTTCACTGCGGCCATCGCACAGTCAATTTTGGTTACTGTCCCGTTTTATGAATAGTTTCCTCTGCTGCGCGGTCTGGTGGTAAACCACCATGCACCTAAGCACGGTGTACATGCCTGAACGGGGCTTGGTTTCTTCCCGAGGCCCAGGAATTTGGTAGCGCAGAATGTTCGCCCATGTGCAAATTTCAAAAAGAACACTGGATTGACTATCTGGGTACATTTGATAAAATGTAATGACTTGGTGTGACATTAGTTGATCCACTGAGTGTAAAATGTGACACGCGTGTTCCGGGCCTAGGGCTTCAAATTCAACTCATATACACAAACAGCCCTGTCGGTGGGAGGAGGGGGGGGGCGCCCAGAAAACACGTGTTTTTGAAATGATCAAATTGGATAGTGATCA